CTGCCTTTGGATCCTCACTGCTCACTACACATTTTATATCTTGCTCATTTTCTCTCTCCAGAGTCTGATGACCTGGATGCAGACCTATCCAGGTTGGCTTCCCTCGGTTTTACAGGCTGCCTGTCAGTTGTCCACTTTAACACCATCAGCCCTCTGAAAGAAGCTCTGCTCCGCCCCAACTCCAGCCCCGTCATCATCACTGGACCTTTAGCTCAGTCCAACTGCGGCTCCGCAGCTTCTGCCAATTCCTATTCAGCTGAGAACACACACCACTTGTCAGGTGAGAAAAGGAGGAGACATCTGACTTGTTATTATGTTATAATCTTTGAAAATATAAATATGTAACATTTATTAAAAGTTTTGGCTGAACATCTACATGTACAAATATATAGCCTTTAAATGAAAACTTACCATCGTTTTTGCTTATGCTAGCACTTCAACTCCACAGGAGCTTCGTCAACAATGCATTTCATCATCATAATATCAAAATATTTATTTCTCAGGACAAACGTTGAAGGCCAGTGTAATTGATTGCACTACAACAGTACACAGGCAAATTTATTACAAAAACTATGATGCCACGTAATGCAAAAAACAATCTGGCCAATGGGGTTTGGAGTTGATTCTGTGATTAGGGTGGCATATATTTCCTGCTGTCTTTCATTTTTGCACTGAAACTGAATGAAAGCTGCAGCTCAGAAACGGCTTGTTAATTACGTGAAGTATGCTCCTTGTTTTGGGAGTCTAACGACAGTATGACTGATGATTTAATGAGTTTGAGACACAGGAGATTCGTTTGGGATTTCCATCCTTTGGGTTCTTTCTAATCCAGTTTGCAATGCTTTACAGCCGTCACTTGTAGAGCTCAAGTAATCTTCCCTGGTCTGATGGGTTGGGGTTTTTTTTTTTTTTTTTGAGTCTCTGCTTTTCATTTTCTGACTCTGATTTGATCTCATTTCTTTCTTTATTCTAATTTTGCCTCTTGTTGTGCTTCTTTCTTCTGGTGTGAATGATTTTGGCTGTTCTTCCTCGTTTTTATTCTTGAAGTCCTTTGGTTTTTCACATTCTTGTCCTTAGCTTTCTCCACCTTTTTCTTTCCCTCTCTCTCTCTCTCTCTCTCTCCTGTAGACCAGTCTGGTTCAGTGGGTTCAGGTGTACCCTTAGTCAATTCCATCAGGATTGACTCGGCCCTAATTGGAGGTACTAAACTGCTTTACCTTTGTATCTTCTTCACTGGACTTTACTTATAGCCATTTTCCACCCGTGCAGTGCTGGTGTACAGGCACCTCGTTACCTACATTTCAAGAGATTTGTGCAACATTTTCAGCAGAGGTTTGGTTATTTTTGTGTGAGGAGAATGACAGCAAACAGAAATTGGCCTGCATCTGTGATTTGTTGGCGATTTTTTTTAAGCAACAACAAAATTGCTTGGCTTAAAGATAGAACTCCTGACATTGGTGTCCGTGTTATTTGTGGTGGAAAATTGGACACCAGCACTGCTTCAGTGGAAAATAGTTGTTTTATCATGTCAATCGTATTGCCCTTGACTAAAAATAATGAAATTTCATGTGCTTTTCTGGTGCCTTTTTATTTTAAAAAGTGATGAGTTCAAGCGAATCAGGTTGTGGAGAGAGGTTGAACTCCAAGAAAGAGTAAAGTGGTCTACCAGGCAGGAGTCCATTTAAAACTCATTTAAAACTTTGCTGCTCTGCCAGCACGGGTTGATTCAAAGTGAAGACTGAAAAGGTTCAATCTATAATTGTGCAGATAGAAAAGGTGAGACTCAGAGAAAAGTCATTTAAAACTGTCCATTAAACCATCCAGTACACAAAGGGCAGCCCATCTAATTAAACCAATGTAAGGATGATTTGCTGATGGGAAAACTTTTTCTGCTCTTATCTTAAAACCTCTGGTCACTTTATAATGTAACATAGTATGAAATTGATTTCAGATGGATTCTGGAATGCCAATTAAATGGAACCTGCTCTCGTATTCCCAAATGTGCTCAACAGAGCAGAAGAGCGTGATGGCTTCAAAAGATTTAAACTGGTGTTTAATGTTCTCTAAAGTGCGATTAGCAAGATAATCAAAACATTTAGAGATGGTACTACGAGGGGAAGAGTTTTCTTCCAATCCATACATCAGCTACAATAACGTCAGAACATTCAACCACATTGAACTCTGAAAGGTGATATCTGATATGCTACAAAATCCTTTTACTTTACAGGTGTCATTGCAGTAGTCATCTTTGTGATTGTGACTGCACTGGCGATAACGGCCAGATTCCTCTACCGGAGGAAGGATACATATCGTAACAAGGAAGTGAAGAGAGTCAACCAGGAGGACAGCCAAGACTTTCCTTTTAACAACCAGGCTGACTCCCAGAATCTCTCCACTGAAAACCCAAAGGAGTATTTCATTTAACTGGAGGCCCGATGACCTGATGCACTTCTGGGCTTTTGGACCCGAAGCTGCAGACAGACGCATCTTGACACGCCTTGGGACTTTGCAGTGCACTCGAGAGCCACTTAGACACTTCTATGACAGAAGTGGCTCTGCAGCATGTGAAAAGCAAAGAAGAACAATTTTCACAGTGTTGTCTTTCTGTTGCTTAATGTAAAATGTGAATACACTGATGCAACAGCGTTGGACTTTAAGGGTGTTGATATACTTGTTCAAGCAACTGTAAATATTCAGCAATGTGAAACACTGAATAATGTCTTTGTAACAATCTGGCTAATGTTGAAATGTTGGAAATAATGGAGGTAACAGTATTTTTATTGTGCATGGGCAGGGAGAGTGTGAAGCTGTCTTCTGTTTGGATTTCACCTGGAGAAAGATGGGGATAAACTCCAAACTGCCTGCGAGACATTTGCCTGCATTTCAAATGATCCAACAAAAGCTATCCATGGATATTTTATATTTACCTTTTTCATGTTTCCAGCTATTCTTCCCAGTAACTGGCTGTTTTTAACCCCTTCTCGAGTTTTCATTAACGTTTGTGAGGTCAGTGGTCTAAATATACAGTATATGCGAATTACATCCGTAGAAATTATTCCTCATCACACAAACACATTCCAAAGTTATGAGTTTGATCACTGTTGACGGAAAATGTGTATCCTGACAATAAGAAAGCAATGTTACCACAAAGGTTGTTATTGTCTTAGTGATTCAGGTGATGGGCCGTTGTAGGTTTTTTCACTCACTGTTCAGCCATTAGGCCCAAAGCTTTGTGTTCAAGCTCACCACTCAAAGCATCATCTTTGGTGTCAGTAGACAGCTGTATTCACAAAAAAGGCCCACTGTGGTACCGGTGTTCTGACAAAACGTCCTACTTTGTCAAGACATCCTACTGTAACGTAAATTATAGTCATGTCTATCAGTCTGTGCTACCTTATCAGAATATGCTATCTTACGTGGTTTATACCTCCATCGTACATAGGACGGTAGGACGTTCTGATGGCCAAATCACACTGCTGTTATTTATTTAGGTAGGACAAGGTTTAAGCTGTACGCCAGTTTACAGAAGTTTAGAAATACTGAATCAAGACTTGAAATATGACTTTAATTGAGACTCCAAATTGGAGTATTTTTGCACAAAAAAACAAAACGCATGTTAGCTTGAAAAGTTAACAAATTGACAACAGCTTAAGGAAAACAAGTATCCACTGTAATAAAGAAGTAAAATATATAATACTAACCTTTTTTCACATGCATGAGATCAGGGTAGGATCAAAGAATAGGCGTGTAGTATTAACACCTAAAATATGGCCGTTTTGAGTTGTGCGCATGCGCAGTAACAACAAGTAGGACAGCTTGATAGGTAGGGTGTTTTGCCAGGACACCAGCTCAAACATCAGGCTCCGTGTGTAATGTAATGGAGCATTGAGCAGCAAAAGAGCCAAATATCTTTTTATGAGACCAAACCAGAACTAAAAAGATTTCCCAACTTGTTACACCGTCAGTACAGGATGTGTACTACAGACGTGCCTGGTCACCAATTTGCAATTATCATTTAAGCAAGAGATAAAAATTGACTAGTTTGCTAGTCTAAAGATTCCTTTAATTACATTGTGACACTGACTATTTGCTATGTTATACATGGCAGTGTGTCTGAGTAGTTTGCTGAGTTTTTCCAACTGTACGATCAGTAGCTTTGATTTTTTTCCACTCCAGTATCCACATCTTGGTACAGAATATGGTTCTAATTAATTCTGAGAAATATGAAGGTCCAAAACACAGCCACTCTTTTTATTTTATTATATTTTTTAAATCTTTTGTTCAGCAAAACAGTCATGGTTTGTATGGCTGTCATCTATTGGCTGTCTCGTTTGTTTATTTACAAGGCCGTTCACCGAAAGAGAGAGACAGATAGGGGAGCAGCCGTGTGTCAGGGCTGCAGTCCTGGGATGTGGTTGGTTATATAACCAGAGCTGGAATGACGAACTGTCAATACAGTAGCTAAAGTACAGTAGTACATTTTTCTCTGGGAAAGGCTGTGCACAATGGTATCCAAAATGTGGTTGTTTTTTTTTTCAAGTCTTAATATTATGATCCTAAAAATACATTCTCTAATTGATATGTAAGTTCATATCATGTGAACAGTTATCAAAGTCAGATGATTTTTTTTATATAATTTCAGTCTGACACTTTAATTCAGAAATTTTAAAACGGATGTGCTGAGTCAGCTAACCTTCTACGACGGGATGGAAATCAGTTCTTTTGTTCAGTGTAGCTCAAGAAATTCCTCATGAAAAAAAGAAAAATCATTAATAGAAGCCTTACTAACTTCACTGGATACTTCATGATACTATGACTTCATCCCTGTAAATTTTCTGGATTGATTTATACAAACCTTTATATATGTTTGTATCTGTTATAGTAAAGGTGTGACAGATGTAAGCCACAATTAGACTTTCAGCTTATTCTTTAAGGAACATCTTTTTAGGCTTATAGTTATTTTCACATATATGATCATATACATGGTGTTATTTTGATGGATTCTCATATTAAACACGGCTGCCAAAGATTGAAACATCTGTCTCTGAGAGACAAAAACCTCACAGTTAAGACTTCTGCAAAGAGTCGCTTTGAGGCAGTTTCCTACTCTGTGCTCTGTGTGACAACAAAGATGGGGGAAATCCCTTCTATGGTCATCACATACAGTAGTGATGAGCATAGATGCCCTGCTCATCAAATTTTTTGTTTATGAGCAACAGGAATCCAAAAATGTAGGCAGCATGGTGGTGTAGTGGTTAGCACTGTGTCCTCACAAGCTCTGGGTTTGAGTCCTGACTGGGGCTTTTCTGTGTGAGGCTTTTATATTCTTGTCAGGTACTCTGGCTTCTTCCCACAGGTGAGGTCACTATGGCAGCTGAAATAGGCTCTGGGATCTTGAATTGGAGGAGTAGTATAAGATGGATTGAGGAAATCAAAAGAAAGTCGGTTTAAAGTAGTTAAAACACCTCATTTCAGACAGGATGTCTTTATAAAGGTAAATTATTTCAAACTGTTAATCATGCAAAGCTTTAGTAGGTCCAAGAATTTTAAAAAAGGAGCTGCAAATTTGTATAATAGGGCCCCTTTAATAATAAAAAGACAGCACTAAGAGGAAACACAAATAAAAACCTTGATCATTGCTAGACTGCCATCACATGTGCAGTTTACTTAAAAAGTCTTTGCATCCTCCTCACTTTGCTGCCTCCACTTAAAAGTTTTCTCCTCCCTGCTGCATACTGCCTGCTGGGAGCTTCCTCACTCAGCTCCCTTAATGTCTTTGAACAGTGAAGCTTTTAACACCGACAGCGACACCGACTCTAACAGTGTGTCTGTCTGTCACCTCGCTCCATACACGCAGAGGCAGTTAATGTGTTTTGGAAATGCTAATCTGCTTTGAGCTGACAGGTGGATTGTGATTCGATATAAAGCAGAGGGAGATGAGAAGAATCAGACAAAGATAATCTGGGAGACACTGCCAAGCATCCATGGCTATAATGAAAACAATTTCTGATATTAACACTTGAAAATGAAGCCAATCCTTCCATGTGTTAATCCAGCTCATGTGGAAAGAGGACTGCTGATAGAAGGATGAGAAACAGAGGGAAGCTCAACAGCAGCTGCTTCCCAAATACACACCACAGTCTCTGTGAGATACAAAACCTCAGATGAGATTTTAATGAGAGAAGTTGCTCAAACTTTAAACTCACTCTCCTTGTGTATTTTGTCTTAAAATGTACTTTTGTCAACACTAATGACAGACACTGCGTTCTCCTGTATTGCAGTCTTCTCTCTATGAACTTTATGCTGGAGTCGATAAGTGGTCCCCATGCTGCAGATCATTTCTGCTGCACTCACTTTTAACACTTAGGAGTACAAGTGAGATGTGTTCAGGCCAACAAAGCCTAGTAAAGTGGTTAGACTCCGATAGCCCATCCCAGCAGTGATTGGGGTGTCCTGCACAAATCCTTGAGTCTAGACGCTGACGGTGGAGAAAGAATGACAGATATGCAGTAAGATCTAAAGTCAGAGGAGCGAAGGCTGGTTGGCCAGAAGAGGACCGGCAGAAGATAATTGGACTACACCAGTGATGTCACAATAAGCTTGACAGCGTGGGAAAGTGGAAGTGATGTCAAGCTTAGTTTATCCCCCAACACCTGGAAGGCAGACAGATGTGTGACTCCTAAGCTTCATTTTAATGCAGATGCAGCTTAAATGACCATTTCCAATCAACTGGTGTGTAAGCTGATAAAAGTAAACCAAATGTTTACACAAGTAAACACACAGCAAAAACCGAACACTTTGGGTTGATGGAACGCATCAGAGAGACCATTGTGTTTACCTCCAGTTCGAAAAACTATAGGGAGTGGAGACCACAGGCCTGCACTGAGGCCTGCGTCCTCCTGACACACAGAAGGCCTCCACAGCAGCGACAGCGTCTTAGATCCACGATACCAGTTCCTCACTCGACACACATGTGCTCTCTCACAAATGTTAATGGGATTCTTTTTTCCCTTTTAACTGGAAAACCGTGCTTCCAGGCAGCATGGAGTTTTTCCTTGCCGTCATTTTCCTCTGCACCACACCTTCACGTGCACCGAGCTGCAGGTGATGCCTCCAGGCCAAGCCTGGAAATTAGACGAGAAACCACAATGCATTCAAAGAAACGTGTCTTTCTGAGTGCTGTAAATTTTATCAGGGTTACACAGGAGATGTATCAATATCACTTTGGAAAGGTTGCCAATCTGTTGCAGAGCCAACACTGGGAGATATACAACAATTCACGCTCACATTCACACCTATGGGCAATTTAGAAACCTCAATTAACCTAACTGCACCAGTTGCATGTCTTTAAACTCTGGGAGGAAGATGGAGTTTCCGCAGATAACCTACGAAGAACGGGCAGAACATGCAAACTGCACACAGAAAGGAAAATTTAATATTATGAGAATTAAAAATTTTCAGGTTTTTATTTTTTTTAATTTTTCAAAGTCTAAAAGAAAACTTCACAGAACAAAAGAAGGACTTTGGTTCAATGAAAACAAAATATTGGCCAAAAAGATATCGTATGGTTAACACTTCCTCTGAGTTTAAACTGTTTTTTCTTGCACTATTTTGGACAATAGGTATGATTACTATTATCATTAATTATACCTAAAGTTGCACAAGGTGTTACAATGTTAATTTAAGATTTATTGAATTCGGTGTAACAAGGAAATACATTTATGTGCTGTAGTTCATGGTAAATTGTGGCGTACTGGAGTGTGGCCTCAGGATCACATCTCTGCTTTTTGCAGATAATATGGGTCCTGCAGTGCCCTCCAAGCACTTAGGCAGTTTACAGAGGGTGAAGAGGCTACAATGAGAATGCAAAAGTCAGAAGTCTGAGACCATGATGGAGTGCTCACTACAGGTCAGTGACGAGTTGTTGCCCCAAGTGGAGAAGGTTAAATCTTGGTGCATAAGGGAGGTGAGCAGAAGATTGGTTTAGAGTCCACACTCACTGCAAACATGGCTCCACCTAATCTGTCAGTTTGTTGTAGTAAAGGTGTTAGTGTGCAACCCATATCCAAAGTTTACCTGTTATTTTTTTTATTATTTTCACTAGTTTTCCTAGGATGTAGCATGTAAATTAGAATTACAAATTTATTTTGCAAGCATTTCCCAAAATTATATTAGGCAATATATGGAATACGGTAAATACAAAGTAAGTCCTGAAAACAAAATCTTATTTTATGTAGTATTGCAGGAGTGTGATATTAGAATTTATTTAACATATATTTAATAAGGTTAATTAAAAATTACATTGTAAAAACAGTCCTTGATGATTTCCAGAGATTATTTTATTCTTTAGCACTGAATACATTTAAACTGCACTTAACCTTTAACCGTTGGCTAGCTTTCAGTAGTTTGAGAATCCCTCTGATGGCTGATTCCTGTTAACATGAGCAATTTTAGAGCCCAGAGTTTAGGGAAATATGTAAAGCTGTGAAGCATCGAGGAGCAGAGCATGCCAAAGTGATTCTCTGTGAGGAGCCATATCTTCTTTCTGCCTGTTTAAAGGTCTCAGACATCTGGAGTTACATGATGATTCTGCTGCCTCAGATCAGTAATCTCTATCTACCATCAGTGGTTGTAATAAGAGACCAGATGTGAAGCTAATAACTGAAATATTTAGCACTAGTTTTGACATCAAAGATATAGTGAAGGAAAATAAAATTCAACAGGTATATAAAAAAAACCTAATTGGAATTTAAATGATAAATATTCTCTCATCTTTAGTGGTGCAGTATATATAATGGCCACATTTTGACACAGGTTGAGTTGTAGTCTGTATCTTGAAAAGGTATCAAAGCAGGACTGGCTCTGCAACAGCAATAGGTCACTGGAAAACAGGTATTGAATGTCAGGTAAATACACTTATTTTCTGAATTCTGAACCTTTAAGGAAAGCTAAACCTAAAATCACAACTGAACAAGATACAGATGCAGAACACAAGAAACCAGGAATGTTGCAAACACAAGGATCTTAAACAAAAGTCAGATAACTTTCTACAAGCGCCAGCTAATATACAAGCCTCTAAATCACCGTGCAAGACTAGGATCCAGTGGGCTGAGTTCTTCTTCTCCTTTTCTTCTTGTAAGTATTATTGGTGGTTGGCAAGTGGGCTGAGTTGACAAGTAGCTGGGGAGTTACCAATGGTGGAAACGGGGGGAAATGAACCTAAACCAGACACCAAAAAGATGTCTGATGAATTGAATAATAAAGACATTTACTAGACTATAACTGAACATGGCCCGGAGCAGGGTTTGTTTAGGAGCAGGAGTCTGCCACAAGGAAACTGAAAATAATCTTTTTATACTTCACATAAATGTATTCAAACGCTAGAAGGCAACTGTAAGGCTGAGGTGGATTTAGATGATTGTGACATGTTTCACATGCTGAAATCCACACCTGTGATAATGGCCCAGAAATGCACGCTGAGGAACAGAACCTCCTTGCTAGGTTGAAAGGGGAGTTGAGACAGCAGGCCAGATAACTCTTCGTAATATTGTTTTAACTATCAAATGTCTTGCAAGTCTTACAGTTACATTTTTCCCCTTTCCATAAGATGAATTTAAATTGTTAGTCATGACTAGACGGAACATCTGGCTACAGCTTAAACATTTTATTAAAAAACAAAAAAAACAAAACCCAAACCCTCTTAGTCTGAATATGAACTGAAAATTGTTGTCTATGTCATTTGCTTATATAAGTATTATTTATTGTAAAATGATCCATATTCTGACAACAATATAGTACAAATGGAAATCTAAACTGCAAGATTAAGGACTCAGATATTACCATTATTTTTCATATTTCTTTCCATCTGCACTCTTTGCATTTTGCTGCTGTCTAGCAGGAGA